ACACACCTGGGAGACATCACCGCTGACGAGGCAGGGGAAACTTAAACAAAACGCACTGACATCAGACAGGGGCTTTCAAAGTAAAACAGGAACACATAGACACAGACTAAGAAATGCGGACTTGACACAGGAATACACAGGCAGAAAGGACTAAACACTAAACTGAGGAAGAACAGAACCAAAACCCAAAGAAATAGAAAACCAGAACCAAAATACATCACAACGATAGAAAACACAAAACGCTGTGTCAAAAGACCCAGGATCACGACACTGTCAGACAAACAGAATGTTGACATTTCTTTCCATCTCAGTTTAACCAGAAACTCTGGTCAGACTGGAGCTGACAAGGGCAGGTTTACTGAAATATGTGGGCTGCAAACTGTAGGCTTCAAACTAACCTTGGTTCCCAACTATATGAAATATAAGCACAAAAAGTAAGGAGATTTGTGTTCAACATTTAATTTATATTTAAATACCATTGGAGCCTGATTATTGCTACTCAAATGTTGCAGCAGTTTATGTGGGTCGTGATCATGGAAAACCAAATCTTCTTTACCAGTGCCAAACAGTGTTACAAATGTGAAACCATTTAAGGGAAATAAACAGGCATAAGATGTAATACCAAGAAGAACTGTTACAACAAAGTAGTAACTAACCAAATGTCTTTTTGTGACACATACATATACACACGTGCACGCACACACACACACACACACACACACACACACGTGTATGTACATATAATTAAAGTCATGTCTGTATGACTTATTCAAGGTTTCAATCATTGTCAAATTCACATATATGTTAAAATGATGTCAGTAGGTGAGCAGATTTTTTTATGCTTGATGCATGAATAGAAAAAAAAAAAAGTGCACCAGTGCGTTAGACAAAGCCTAAGGGAGCGTGCAAAAACTCCAGTTACTGAGATTACCTTGTATGCAATGGTTTCAAAGCAGCTGTTTAAAATCCTTACCGATGGTGAAGTTCAGTCCGTCTGCAAACTGGCCTCCACCCTCTTTCTTCTTCAGGTGAGCAGAGCTGAAAAAATAAAAGAAATGTTTTCAACATTGTCACAGGAGAAAATTTCACAGAGCAAAACAAACCCCAAATATTTTATAGTCTTTTTTTAAACTAGAACTTTAAAAAAATATTTAAATT